GAAATGGGTACATGACTATGTAGCTTGCAGCGATGAATTAGGAGTATCAAATGAACTATTAAATGAATTTCGGACGAGAAGTTACAAAAACGTTACTGCATATCAGAAACAAGAATTTAAAAGAAACTCAGTTTGAGAGAAGTTATTTAGTCAACTGTGGTTATTGAAATTCAAATTAACAAAGTTTTTCTACTATATACAACTATTTATTTACACCTAATTAATCATTTACAAAATAATGTAAAAGTAATAATGTGTTTTATTATTTATTAATAGAAAGAATACATTTATTCATCCAGAATCCACAGAATCAGTAGCTCTCTGTGCATGTAATTAATTATGCAGAGTTCTGACTGGAACTGTGTTATTTCTAGAGAAGAATGCAAAATTAACACATGGAATATTTATTCAAAACTACCATTAACACGGCAGAAGTAAACTGTATAATATCTACCTAATTATTCAGAAAATCTTAAATAAATAAGAAGTAGCAAAAAACTTGGGAGCATTACATATATTACCACAGGTAAAAGAATATATATATTATGACATAGTTCAAACAGGAAGATATTTATCGCAAATTCTTAATTTTGGATCCTACTGAAATTGTGTTTCTGGACAACACACAAAGTGATATCAACAAAATTAATAATGGTTAAATATAGTGATTATACTTTACTTTTAAAAGACGTTTTTATTTTTATAGTTTATGTCATTTATTTATTGCATCCTCGAGTAGGGATGCTTGTAGAAAAATGAATATAAACTCACATAATTATAGAAGTATGCAACATCTTAGGGACGCAGTGAAGTGTTCCCTAAAACACTTCATAAGATGTGTATGCATTAAAACGTGCTATGGTTTGGCTATCACTTATTCTCGGTCACGACGTCCCTGCAAACGCTGATCGGAGTAACTGCCCGGATAAATTTTTCAACAGATTCAAAGAAGAAACGGAAGCGCTGACTATCTCCCCTACGTTTCTACTCCGGTGAAGTGAGCGTTTACATTGTCAAAGTAATCATAACGAGCGACTCGCTCCGAGCCGCTCTGACAGGTGTAAACTGACCTTTAGCTCCAGTTTCAAAAGACTTGCATACATACATGTTGTAAGTCCACCACAACTCATCTAGAATTTGTTACGAACTGACAAATGAGTGACCATCACTACAGATACATCAAGTGCTATATTTTTCCATCTGCAATAAAGGTACGCATATGGAAACTCAACATATCAGTTCAACATGCACAAAATTATCAACAACAGCTGTTGAGCATAAGAAAGAGTTTAAAAACTCTCTGGCAGCCAGCACAGCACCGAATATGTCACACCTTTAGCAAAATACTCTTTGGAGCATTCAGACTTACTAAATAATTGTGACAAAGGTAAAATCCCCAATTGACACAAGCCTGAAAGCAGCCTTAAATTTAAAGAAACGTTAGAAATCATCCCAAATCTGTGTTGCAATACACACTTTACTTTCAATCTATATTCAGAAATACAGCAATACTATGGCAAGCAATCCTTCAGAAAACAGGTATAAAAGAAAGGGAACTTGATCCAGCCATTCATTCTACACTGGTGAAACAAATTAAGAGAATTTGTATATTTTATCGAATTGCATGAAACGAACTGAACTGAAGGAAAAACCACTGCTTCTAGATATAAATACAAATCTTGTATGGCAAATACGTAAGCATACGTGTGCGTGTACGAGGAGCCAGCAGAAAAACAGGTTTTATAAGCGCGTGGAGGGCAAGACAAATTGTGTTCGTTAGTACACCTCGGCGAATTTCTCGTTGTTATCTTGCAGCAATCAGTTAAATTCACATCGGAACAGTAAAAATGAGAAGCCACCAATGTTTAGATGAGGGAATGAGGTAAAGAATTGTGGGGAGGCTAGAGGCAGGCCAATCGCCAGCCCAGATATGCAGAGAGTTTACTTCCAGCGTCGTGTGTAACCTATGGAACACCCAGCGTCGTGTGTAACCTATGGAAACAGTTCCAGGATACTGGATCCATCAAGAGAAAGCCTGGGAAAGGTCATCCAATAGCCACGACAGCCAGGAAAGATCGCTATTTGTCCAATTTAGCGAGGCGTAACAGAGGGGCTACAGCTTCTCAGCTCTCTTGGAACCTGTATGCAGCCACAGGAACCCGTGTAACAAGGGTGACTATTTCCAAAACACTGAATGAGAGAGGGTTCTTTGCCAGAAGACAGACTGTTTGCGTCCTGCTCACATCTACAGACAGGAGACTCCGATTAGCATGGTGCCCACAGCATAGTGATTGGAGTACGAAGCAATGGGCAACCATTCTGTTCACCGACGAGTCCCATTTTATCCTAAACACTGACTCTCACCGTACTTTTCATATGGAGAGAGCCAGGAACTCACCTACCCTCCAATGTCTGCGAAATCAACAATTATGGCAGTGAAAGTGTAATGGTCTGGGCAGGCATTATGTTTTGGATGACCGCACACCTCTCCATGTCTTTGACAGAGGCTCTGTGACTGGTGTGAGGTACAGAGATGAGGTCTTGCAGCCCTATGTTCACCTTTTCTGGGATGCAAGTGGGCCTCCAGTTCATCTTACAGGATGATAACGCAAGGCCACATAGAGCTCTTCTAGTCAACAAATTCCTCAAGAGTGAGGATATTTGCCAGATGGATTGGTCAGCCAAGGTCTCCAGACGTCAACACTATAGAGTATGCCTGGGACGCTCTGGGGAGAGCAATTACAACTCGCAAACCCCCCCTTCTGAAAACCATTCAGGAACTGAAAACAGCATTGCTGAATGAGTGGGTCCATTCAGCAACGCTGTCAGGCACTGATAAACTGCCTTATTTCCAGTATAACAATCATGCTGCGAGGCCTGTATAGCAATAATGAGGGAACCATACCCTCTATTAACCCATTTTTTGTGTCTTCTGCAACCCTCTGTTTCAGACCATCAGACTCCCATGGGTGTTACACACGAACATGTGTGTCTATTATAATTGCTGAATGTTTATTTTGTTTGTATTATATTAACCTAATTAGTATATCAACCATGTTAACCTAATTATATCAACCATGTTCACACTCAATTTTATTAAAATCTGTCCAGTAGTTCTGGAGATCGTAGATCAAATATGAAAATTATCTTAATTTATTTCACCAGTGTAGTTTCAGTTGAAATTAGCAGAAAGAACAGCTTTAAAGTTAATAACTTATACTTAAACATGGATTTTTAGCATGTTAACCTAAAATACTTTATTCTGTTTTAACCACATGTTCCATGTGAACCTCGGTATATGTCCATTTTAAAATATGTCCAACTTGATATGTATCCTGTATTCACATGTAAATTTTTGTTTGATATTCGATATTTGTACTAATTATGACACGAAATCAATTGAGTCATGATTGCATGCACTACAGTTTCTCACCTCTTTCAAGATAATACAACAATTATCTTTTAAGCAACAATTATCCCATCAGCATCAGTACACCTGTTGCAACTATTTAATAAACAACCTGCAACAACTGAATTTTCAAGCAATTTTGTTTCACATAAATTGTTTGTAAACTGGCACGCTATCCAGGATTTGGCTATTTCATATCATATGCTAAGTATGATGGTATCTATAGTTGTGAAAAACAAAGATGCTATTAAATCAGCTAACACTGCAAAAGTGGTCAAATCAATTACCAAACAAAGATTAGAGATGCATACTGAAAAATTACTTTTTATCCGAATAGAAGAAAAGCATTTATGTACAGTATGAAGAGACAAGCTTCACTTATGTGCAGTATATACTTCACCCACCACATTTATACTGCAGTATTAAACAAACAATGCTATAATAATAATAATAGGACTTTTTATAATAACAGATTAGTTATTTCCCCATCATTTTCTACTGGATGTGCAAGGATCTAGAATGGACTCAGGTAGCACTTTATTAATATTACATTAATTTTTGTACTAAAGCATTACATTGTTCCACTGATATGAAACACAGCAATCATTATTAAAAATACCTATTCACACATTTTAGTAGAATACATACATATACACTGAATTAAAATTTAAAAATTCATATCTTTCAACATGAAACTCTGCAGTAAAATAAAGTAGCAATATTTTATACGTGTAATTGAAAAATCCGCTTTTTCTGGGAAGGATATTTATCAAAATAGCAAACTGCAATTTAACTTATAAGGTGCTGCATTCGTTCCCCAAAAATATAACATGGCATGTATCTCATGCACTAATAAACTTTTAATATAAGCCTTATATTAAAAGTTTCAACAATATATTTAAAATAAATTCAGTGATTTTTCAAAGATTTAAAAATGTTTTAATTTCTTTTTATTCTTTGGTGATACACAAACATGTGTGCCTAGTAATTGCATAGTTTAATAAATTTGAATGAAACTCGAGATATTGAAGTTGTAAGATATGTACTTTATAATGATGTGAATAACAACAATCAAGTTCAAGTTACGGTTACAGTAAACAAATTTCAAAACTTATAATTTTTTAATTTCAGATTTCATAATTTTTTTAAAAATTTTGCTATAATCAATCAAAATAGCCTACTTGTTGTTATTCACATCATTCTTGAACACACACTTCGTAACTTTTGCATCTAAGTTTCATATCAATCTGTTGAAAAGCGCAGTGACTTGGGACTTGCATATAGTGAAGATTAGTTTATGATCATCTTGTGTATGTATACAGTTATGCATCAACTTAATATATTTTTTATATGTTTAAAAAATTATAAAACAATTTTATAACTCATTTTATTAACTCGCAATTTATTTTCTATTTAACTAATCGCGCGAAATTTTTCGTAAGAAATTAAGTTTCCTTACAGCACTAATATGCTTCTAAGTAGGGAAAAATACCAGCAATTCTAGAGTTAAAATCCAACCGCAGACTTGTTTTACTGTATATTAGGTTTAAATTACAGCAGTTTTACTAGGTAACAGAATATGAATACATACTTCAATCTTCCGCAGGAATTCTCTTATTTTTCTTAGTATTACATATTCTTTGTATTTCCCACAATCTTTTGCTTGTTCTGGATGCAAAAATGCAATAAAATCATCAGCTAGGCCCGGATAGTCTTTTAGAATTTCTTTCAATTCAAAGTATAGCTAGAAAAGTTGAAAAAAATAAGTGGACAATATATAAAAAGTTACATATCTACAGACTTTAAATATAAATTAATAGTAGTTCACCTTAACTGGAGATCTTGCACTGTACTGATGTTTGCAAAGCACCTTTAAAAATTTCTCACAAGTTTCAGAATCATTTTTTAAAGCCTCAGTCACTCTCAAGAGGTATGAATTTGCAAAGAGAGCTTCTCTTTCCTCTTTCTAAATATAAGAGAAAAAATAGCCATACAAAATTATTTATGAAATCTTGAAGTAAAAGATAATAACTACATTTTGTAACTATAACTTTCCAAACAACTCTCACTCAATACGTTCAAAATGTGGGATGAAGCTGATTCAAATGCTGAGACATTACGACAGTTGAATAAAAGTTGCAAGTTCTACATCACATTGTTAAGTGTCATATAGTTTTCACAAAAGCATTTACAATCCCTGAATCTTGGGAAAGTTTGTGAGAAAATATTTCCTATAAAAATTCTAGTGAAATATAGATCATGGAATTTAAGTACTACTACAAGCAGTTTCGAAAGAAACATTAGATCAAAATGGTACCTAACATGGCAAATTGTTAATTCTCGGTCTATTTCATTTTACTCATAATGAGCTAAATCCATTATGCTGCAACATTTATCATTGCTCATAGCAGAAAGCATCTTGCTCAGCTGAATGCAGATATTGACAACGATGCACTTAAAAATCAATAAAATTTAGGTTGTAAAATTAACATGGATTTTAGGTTTGAATAAATCAGCCATAAACCATATGAATAACATTCAATCAAAACGTATGATGCCATACACTCAGAGCAAATATGTGCAACACAAACATGCTTGATCATACCATACATATATCCTAAGTTGTACCATGACCTTATTTCACTCGTTAAGTGGAATGCTTTGAATGACTATGTGAAGTGTTTTATCATCACATTAGCAGCAAAATGTTGAACACAGAATTCACAACAAATTTTGCTAAATGCTTAGTGATGCCTACACAGACAGTTAGTTAATGCATGGGTAAAAGTGTATGAGCTGCAAAAACGTTTGCAAGCGGTTCAGATGTTTCCAAGATGTCCCAAGAAAGAGCCAAATAGGTCTTTGAAGACAGGTAACCAGTAAAACCAAGAAAAATTTCAGTGATGTGCATGAAAATTATCAGCTAACTGAACTCTCTTTAAATTATCTGAAGCGTGCAACATTACTTACAGTTTTGTTCAGTCCATTCTTAATGAAGATATTGATATAAAATGCATTTGTGAAGAGTGAACCAAAAGTGTTTGTGGATGTTGAGAAAGAAAACTGGGTTTCAATTGTAGAATATCTTCTTGATAATGCTGAGGATACCAAATATGTTTTGAAAATTATCATGACAGGTGACAAGTCATGGTTATGATCCTGAAATCAAGGCTCAATCTTCACATTAGAATACAAAAAATGCACAAATGAGTCAAAGCGACGTGAAGACATTTTTTTTTTCTTTTTTTCGAAATACAAAGAGTACTAATTATCATGAATATGCTCCCAAAAAGTACTACCATGAATACTGGATCACCTAAATACCATTTGTTGGAAAATGCTAAAATTATGGGCATTTGGTAAGTGACAATTCTATGATGAAAGCACATCTGCTCATTCAGCTCAGGTTAAAGAGAAGTTTTTAAACAAACCTAAAATTGTCTAATTCTGACTATCAGAATATTCCTCAGATCTTGCTCCCTGTAACTTTTCTATCTTTCTACAAATCAAGTCCCATTTGCAAGGAAAGAGGTTTCAAGATGTCATGAAGATCCTAGAGAATACAATAAGACAGTCGCTTGCTATCTCTCCCCATAAAAGCAAGTTAAAAGCACACTTCATCAGTTGAATCATTACTGGATAAAGTATGGGATACAAAAAGTAACTACTTAGAAGGATATTAAATGCAAATACGTAAGTGGTGCACTCTTTTTAAAACATAAGTATAGATGCTTTTTGATCATGTCTTATGTATAATTATGCAGATTTGCACACTCACAAACTAGAAATGTAGTTTCCATAGCCTTAATGTTTTTATATTTTATTTTCATAGCTAACTTGGATATGAATATTGTTTACCAATAATAATTAGATGGTTAACTAAGTTTCTGCAATTCGCTTGAGGAAGGAAAGGTCTTTGTCTACCTTCCTCCCTCACCGACTTTTGCCTACTCTTTTGCACTGGCCTCAGATTTCCTTTGATAATATATTTTGGCTCCTCCTGTCAACATTTGTTTCCTTCTGATTCCACCACTCTAGACTCCTTTTCCTTTTCCAGTTGTCAAAGGCTCATCTCTTGTGCTTGCTCCTGATGCTTAATTCAAAATATCTTGGAAAATTGGCATATCAGCTCAGTTGTAATATTTTTTGACTTGACAAACATTAGCAGTAATATTAACCTTGTTATGTCCTTTTAGGTAACATACAGCTCTGCAAATTTGTTGAATAATGTAAGGACCCTCAAATCGGGGTAAAATTTTGATACTTTTTCTGATGGGGGTGCAAGACAATGAATGTTTTACTTTCAGGACCTTATTCCCGGCTTTAAAGACAAAATCTCTTCTTTTCCTATCATAAAAGACTTTTTGTTTTGCTCTTGAGATATCTGAATTTCACTCTGCCTCTTGAGATATCAGAATTTCTTATTACTTTCACTTTTTGGATATGAGCCTAACAAATCTACCCCTATTATTTTATTTGGAAAAGTAGCTCTTATGCTATTTATACACCCAGCCAAGCTGTAATTTATCATTAACTAATTGGCACATATGGCATGACCTGACATATGTGTAACAAATTTTTGAAGTTGGCAGAAAAAAAGACTGCCTCACATACTCTTTGCACTGTTTCCTGAATGCCAAGATGACTGGCAGTAGATGTGTCAAGTAATACTTCCAAAATACTAAGCTGCAAACTGGCTAGGATAACTGGTCATAATTCACTATTCTCATTTGTTGTTTTAGTATAAATTAAGAGTTTATCAATTATTGCTCAATTTTCTGCACTATTTCTAATAGCCACTTTATCCAGATGTTCAAAATTTTAGTCTTGCAAGTATACACATATAGTACTGAATTCTGTATCAATTTGTAATTCAGAAATAACAGTTTCACAGGAGTCCAACATTTTTGACATTAACATAGAACATTTTACTTCTTTTCCCTCTTCATCTAGTTTTATTTGAGATACAGCATTGGCTACTAACTTGTCTTTTCTGGACATAAGGTTAATTATGAAGTCATATTCTTGTAATTTTAAGGCCCATCTGAATAATCGCAGAGACAAATTTTTGCCCAAAAATAACTCAGCCAGAACAGCATGATCAGAATATACAGTTATCAGTGCATATATTAGTGCAGATTATATATCTTCATCTAGTTTTATTCGAGATAGTGCATTGGCCACTACACTGTCTTTTCTAAGCATACGCTTAATTATTAAGTTATATTCTTGTAATTTTAAGGCCCATCTGAATAACTGCAGAGATAAATTTTTGCCGAAAAATAACTGACCCTGAATAGCATGATCAGAATATACAGTTATCAGTGCCAAAATATACTCTGAGCTTCTGCACCACTAAAAGTACAGCCAGTGTTCCTCTCTCTGTAGCCGTGTAATTACAATGTTTGATTAAGAGTTTTTGAAAAATAGGCCACAGGCTGACAATCCTGCATCAAAACAGCACCTACAGCTTAATCTGATGTGTCTGTCAAAATTTCAAGGTTTTTGCCCCCCACCCCTGAGAATTTTAAAACTGGGCACTTGTACTCATGTAGTTTTCAATTACTCAAATGCGGTATCAGCCTTAGCTGATCAAGAAAACCATGCTTTCTTTCCCTTTAATTTTAACACCATTTCGGCTATCTGTGCAAAGTCCCTTATGAATGTTCAATAGTAAGAACACATGGCCAAGAATGAGGCTGTTTTTTCGCTGTTTGGTGGTGGGTAGCTCTTTACAGCAATTATTTTCAAACCTTCTGTTTGTATTAACCTTTGAGAAATTTTATAGCCTAGGTGCCTAAGCTCTTCTGCCACAAATTTGCCCTTGGATGCATTCACTTTTAAGCCTGCTTCTCTTAATAATGTGATAAGTTCATTTAAATCTAATATGTTCATAAATATTTTCACTAGTTACTATAACGCCATTGAGGTAAATAAAGGTGGATTGTCTGAGGACAGGTCTTATTATCACGTTGTAATGAAAGTTTTTTGCCAAGACATATTCTTAATAAAGTTAGCAAAGAAAAACATGAAAGAAATACCTTTAGTGCGAGTAGTAATCACCACCAAAATCTAAGATTTTCTGCCAATGCTTTGGCAGTTTTTCAAAGCCTTTGGCCTAGAAACTTGGCGATCCTGATCCTAGAAACCTGATCATGCTGTTCAAGTCCAAAAATAGATCAACCTCATTTTAAACATCCTTTGCAGAATGGAAGATAGCACCAGCAAGGTAGTAGGTGTGAAAAATCAACCTATATGGTGGACGTGCAATTCGCTTGAGGAAGGAAAGGTCTTCGTCTACCTTCCTCCCTCACCGACTTTTGCCTACTCTTTTGCACTGGCCTCAGATTTCCTTGGATAATATATTTTGGCTCCTCCTGTCAACATTTGTTTCCTTCTGATTCCACCACTCTAGACTCCTTTTCCTTTTCCAGTTGTCAAAGGCTCATCTCTTGTGCTTGCTCCTGATGCTTAATTCAAAATATCTTGGAAAATTGGCATATCAGCTCAGTTGTAATATTTTTTGACTTGACAAACATTAGCAGTAATATTAACCTTGTTATGTCCTTTTAGGTAACATACAGCTCTGCAAATTCGTTGAATAACGTAAGGACCTTCAAATTACTGTCAACAGTTTTGCCTTTTTCCAGATGCTCTTTGTGGATAATTACCATGCCAATCACACCAGATACAAAGAATGATCTTCTTGTTAGTCAAACTGTGCTTTGTGATACTACCCTACAACATGTTCCGGACTTACTGATGTGGTAATGGCTAATGTAAAAATTATTGTACTTGATTTAATGTTTCTGAACTGTACTGGGCTGCCCATTACAAACTAATGGCAGTCATGTCTGGGTCTGGTGTAAGATAAAAAAATATTACTGATCTGCTGAGAGAAAAAAATACTCAGAGGTCAACAGGTCTTAGCCATCCTTCTCATCATTCATTAAAAGATTCTACAGACTAACAATCATAAATGAATGAATGCAATAAAGCAACCACAGAGTGCTCATAATTAAAAGAAATTAAATTACTTAAAACTAGCACAGAACCATTGTTAATAAAGTCTCAAAGCTGACAAATGCCTTTTCTTTAAAATGCTTACCTTAGGATCATTTTCAATTAAATTTGGTTGAAGAAGTGTTAAAGATGCTTCCAAGTCTCTTTGAAGTTTATTTCTCTTCTTGCTGGCAGATTGCTGTTTTTTGCAGATTGTACTACTAGCTGCCATTAGAGCAGCTAGGTCTTGTTCATCATCAACTTCTTCATCAGGTTCTTCACTAACTTCTCCCTCTGGTGCTAGTTGAGATTCATTATTTTTAGCAGTCACAACTGACTGAATCTTTTCTGACTCAGTGGCATTTGTAGTAACAGAAGTACAAACTATGGATGTATTTTTTGTAAGGCAACCATTTATCTCATCATTCCTAACAGTTGTAGAAAAATTTTGATTTGAAAGTATTGTTGTTTTGCTTTGCTCGGGTGCTTTAATTGGTGAAGTTTCCACAAAATTGAGTACAGATGGTTTAGGTTGCAACATAGGAAGTTTCCTACCTTGTCGTTTTGTAAATCCTAAAGGTTTTACTTTGCAAGCAGAATTAGCATTAAATGGTATGACTGGAATAATTCTTCTCTGTTGATTATATTTTCTAAGAATAGGTGATATTTGTTTCAGAGGCGAAATGTGACTAACACGAGGCAGAATGGGACTGTATCGCTTTCTGTCTGGAGCTTTACAAACTATGGGACTGACAGCAACTGGTGACGAAATACTGGTATTTTGAGAAGGTGCAATTAATGGCATATTTGATGATGGAGAGATTGAACAAAGAGTTTTCTGAAAAGAGAAATTACACTTTATTAAAAATTTAAGAAAATATAATTAAATATTTCAGACTACAAATTTCAAAGAAATAAATTCATGAAAAGGGGGACAAAGAATTTTTTTTTTTAACAGAAAAATTTTATTACAACTATTCATCGTGTAAACAAACATGTTTTGAAAATTATTCACATGGAAGAACCAAAGAATATTTTTCACTGATACACCAGAATATGAATATCAACCAAGTTTGATATAAAAACCGGTTTAACAGTCTCGCACTTTATAATATTGTCTTTTTCAATTTATCTTTTCAAAAACATATATTTTGCAGATGTACAGAAATTTGACAGCCACACTTAAAAAAAAAAACATTTTCATTTCTTTCTAAAAAAAAAGCAATTTTCATTTAATTAAAAATTCAAAATACTAAACAAGTTTCTCGACTTCCATCTTCTGAAATATAAAATACATTAAAAATATTAAAAAACACACTGGTAAATATCCAAATTAACATGTAATTTATTCTTAAAATAATGACATAATATTATTTACATTATTCATTTTATCAGTTCACTATGCAAGGATCAGCAATCAATTATATGTTTTTAGAAAATTTTCTAATTCAAAAATTTCAGATACCCAAATTTACAATTAAAAAACAAATAAATTCAAATAAAATTTTCAAGATAATATGTTAATGCCACACACAGTTTATATCACACGCAAATAAAATCTATGTAGTACAGAAAAAACTCTGAGATCCGGATGATGCACTAGATGTATGAGCTACAGAATAAAATTTGTTGCTCCTCACAAAAGTAAAATTAGAGGTATCCCATGGTGGTAGCTGTTATTGGAATATTTAATTGATATAGAAAATGCAAATAAATGAGACTTCAAGAAAACTTATAAAATTTCTGCTAGGGATTACTACATGACATCTGAAATCATAAGGATTTAAGAGCTATCATAAGCAAACAAAATTCAAATTGCAGTTTAAAGACTGTGTGGTTTCTTACTACAGTACAAAGTCTGAAATCTGGGTGTCCATTATCCGGAATGATCTAAAATCGAACCTCAAAACCACCAACAAAGTTTTTCTCTTAAGCTTTATGCATGTGCATTTGATTTCCCCCCCTCCCCGCATAATAAAACATCTGGAGAGTTTCGATTCTTAATTTCACTTCGACACTAAATAAAATAGCTTGTTATTGAAAAAACAATCATTTTAGCAAAAATTTGTACCATCAGTAATTTGGCTCCGTTGTTGTGTATGTGCCTTGACACATATCTCAAAATGAAACATTCCACATAGTAGATACATGGTTGACCTGATGCCAACCCTGGCGAATCATTATTTATTATACTTTCCTTTCATCACCGCATCTTAATCAAAACATGACAACTTGAGTAATGACTCATGTAGTGATGTGTAAACAATTTTTTATTTTAGTAATTAAATAATAAAAGAGTATAGTAACCTTTTACGTTGACGACGAGCATTTTTATCACTTGGCGATGATTACAGATTTAAGTTAAATGTGCTAAAAAATACTGACGAGGAAAAATTTACCAAAAATTTCTTTCCATATGCTAAAAATAGATTTTGTTGACGCTACTCATAGACCTAAAGATTACATTTAGGGCTATTTGAATTAAGAATAACTGATTTGTTATTCACATAAACCCAGAACCAGCGCCAGGGCTCATATGGCCGCACTGAGTCGCAGAATTTAGGACCTACAGAGACTGCATCAAGCAGGAAGCTATCTAGCACCGGCCCTCAATAAGGCTTAAGTATATGTGGGAATTTATGTATTCAGAACTCTGATAAGTCTTAAGCGTGTACAAGAAATAGACATAAGTATAATAAATAACTAAACTAATTCAATCAGGCTTAATTGTCTCAATGCACAATAGAAGCAAGATAAAATTTAACGGAACAACTTGTCATTAGTTGCCAAGCTCATGATGCATAGCCAAAATATGTATAGTGAAGGACAGCTAATTTGATGATGTAGCTGCTAATTTTAAAAGTTTTCAGATATTGCAAAACAAAGGTGAAATTTTCTCATTAACAGATTTTGTAAAGAAATGTGGAGCAGCGGTAATAAATGAAGATGATACAAAAGAAGTTTTTATATTATGAATGGCAAAATCTGTAGTATGGTTGGTTTTAAAATCAGAAAATACTGCTACTGATAATGAAGTGACAGAGAAGTTACTGAAAACGAGAAAATTTCGATTGACAAGTTAGTTGGAATTCTCGAAACAGCAGTTACAGGACTTCAACAATGTAACTAAACAAGAGATTATGCCAGTCTACAGAATTAAAGAGAAAGTATTAGCACAAAAAACGAAGCAACTTAAAACAACTTACATTGAAAAAAAGTTTAATAAGGTAAGCAAATAAATAAATATTGAGCTTTTTGATAACCTTTAGATCATATATACTTCAATATTTCATAAATCACGATTTCATATTTTAATTTTATAATTTCTATATGCCATCTTACTAGATTTAAACTGATGATCTATTATTCGGAAAAATTTCAAATCTAGAATTGTCGAAGTCCTGACGAGTCCGGATTTTGGACTTTGTACTGTATACAGCTATTAGCTCTGAAGATTAATAAAGCTGATAAATTTGGCCATATTCTTCAGAAAGGTCCTGACAATAAAAGAAATGATCTACATATACAGCATAAAATGCTTCACAGATTTGCTATGAATAAAAATTATTTCATTATGCTAATGTTGCATTTTTGAAAGACTTAAAAAGTTACACCTTCATTTTTATTTCATTGTGTTACATAAAAATGGAATTATTATTTAAAGGGCGAATAATGTATAAAACAAATTTCAAAGTAATTTCTCAACTATTTTTTTTCTTTTGGAAGTTAATGGGTTAGCAGAAATTTTATTACATCAGCATTTATATATACACTGGTTATCATAAATTAAGGAAAAATCACAAAAATAGCAATAACTCCCTCAAAAATAAGCCAAACCGTGTAAAATTTGAATATGTTGCCAAGTAAGAGTAGCTGAATAAAACTGCAATATGCAAATTAGTGGTGCTGCAATCGGAATACGTCATCTGCAAGGAGAATAAAAGGTCCATATTTGAGAGCTAGCCCACATTCTTCACTGTGATAGTGACATCAGAAATCTGAGATAGCCAATTCGTAACAATGACCTCCAGGCATCATTTGCCTGCAGAACTATGATGGAGAGCCATTGGGAGACTAGAGGCAGGATACAGTCAAACAAAAGTGGCCAGATGGCTAAATGAGAGTCCTTCTGTGGTTCATAGACTTTGGAGGTGATTTCAAACCACAAATTCGGCATCTCGGAGGTTCAGCCAAGGACGGCCAACTGCTAGGACGAGTGCCGATGAACAATATTTGACATTATGTGCATGCAGGAATAGAACCGCTACTTCGACTTTTCTTAGATCCTCCCTTGCTGCAGCCACCGGAAGGTTGGTTTCAACATCAACTGTGCGTAGAAGGCTTCACGAAGGTGGTCTGTATGCAAAGCAACCACGCCATAGGAGGGACAGTTTGCAGTAGGCACGACAACATATATACTCGATGCCTGAATCAGTGGAGGGCTGTTCTCTTTACGGATGAGTCTAGGTTTAGTCTAGAAAGCGATAGTAGGCGTTATTTGATATGGAGAGAACCTGGAATCTGTTATCATCCGTGAAAGAGATGCATACGGAAGAGGCAGTGTCTGTGTTTGGGGTGGCATCTCTTTGGGTGAACGCAGAGACCTAAATGTCTTTCCAACAGAAATCGTGGATACTCCGGTTTATAAAGATGACATCCTTGATGCTTACGTGCGCCCATGTGCCGGGGCAATAGGTGATGCTTTCCTGTTACAGCCTGTTACAGAATGATACTGCAAGACCACACAGGGCTCGCATCATAAATGATTATTTTCAACACTAAACAATTATGCACATAAAGTGGCCAGCTCGATTGCCGGACTTGAATCCTATCGAGCACATTTGGGATGCTTTAGAGAGACATCTAACTGCTCTCAATCCGCCCCCTCAGACCCTTGCCGCGCTTGCAACTGCTTTGCTAGAGCAATGGCTCTCGCTTTTTATGGAACTGATAAGACTGCATAATTGAAAGCATCACACATCACTGTATGTGCTGTATTGCTTCTAGAGGCGACCATATTCCATACTGAAGGTAATTTTCCTATAGAAAACTGACAGCTTCAATTTGTTCATTTTATACATGTGCTTAGTTTCTATACTACCATAATTGTCTGGTAATTTATTTTTATGTTATTCGATACCTTACTATGTGCTGTATCTTGTGGGTAAGTTTCATAAAATTCTACATGTAATTTTTTCAGTACTCGTGATTTTTGTGATTTTTCCTTAATTTATGATAACCAGCGTATATACAAATTCTCTGAATAATCACTGCATTTTCTATATGGAAATTGAAGCTTTTGCTAACATAGTTTAATCGATGGAAAAACAGACACACACACACACACACACAAAAAAAAAAAAAAAAAAAAAAAAAAACTTAAGATCTGGTCGTTTAAAAAAAGGCAAATTCTTAAAAAAATTTTCATCATTGAATTTCACGATGTTTCCAGCACATGATAAGGACCTAGATATCACCAAACATTTTCAAACATAAAAAGAGCTAAGAAATTTTACAGTACAGTAATTTTTATCAATAGTGATTAACGGGTATGAGAAAATCAAATGGAATTTGATATCGAGAAAACAAATGGAGTAGGATATAAAGCTGTTCTACTTTAGAAATTCAGATTTAAATTATTCACAATGAATACTGTACACTGTTGACTTATTGCTCTATAGTAAATAAAATGTTAAATCATATCAGCATACCACAAAACAATAACCATAAGCAAAATGAACATTCTGCCCAAGAAATATAAAGAGTTACCATGACATAACCAAGAAATTACCATAATATTAACAAGCACCATCTCATATACCAGTTTTGCAAAAATTGTCTTTGGTGAACAGAAAATGATGCTAAAAATCCCTATTGCAATGACCCTTTCTAACTGGTTGAATTTCTCCAGTTTCAGGTAGGGTTTAGCTGCTTTTGTATTAGATTCAGAAAACATCAGAAGAAGCTCCTTTTTTTCCATGATTATGCCATGTAATCGATACTGTGAAATAAAAAAATTTTGTGAACAATGATTCTCATGATCCAGAAAAACATCTTAACCCAAAATTTTGCATAATTTGGCCTATATCTAAGCATTTGAATAAAGTACGTCAAACAACAATTACCCCTGAAAGAGATATTACCATAGATGAAACTTTGATGTTGTTCAAAGGATGGTTATCCTGGTGACAATATATACTCTTGAAACAGTGGATAACTGAAACCATAAATACTGAATCAATTGATAGCGATGGCATAACTATATTAAATCTAACAAAGCACGTTTCCTGCCTATGCTCCATCTCAGTTTTGACCAATAAGCCCCATGTATCTGAAGGTCTCCTTATACTGTTGCTCCATCACCAACCACTCACGATGAGTTCAGGTAGTCCAGGTTCAGGTAGTTCAGGTCAGTTTCAGGTAGGGTTTCAGGTTCATGGGACTTTCAACTTAACATAATTCACATTCTTCCCATACCACTAAGACACCATAGTCACAAATGAGATTACCATGAGATTACCAGAGATTTGAACCCAAAACCAATAGCATGGGAATCAGTTCAACTTGCACTAACCACATCATCCAAATTGTGGCAGAGGAAGAAAAAAGAGAAAGAGATAGAGAAGCTTCTACAACAAAGGTCTGAATTCATTTTAACTTTAGCTGGTTTCTGATTGTTGTATAGAGTCTTTTACATAGCTTGAAAATCAGGATAATGCTATTCAATTACAATACTGATGTTATATTCATAGGCCTCTTACAATATTCAGATACTACAAAATATTTTACTTTCATCTGCATGTGTCCTAAATGATTATTCAAATCAACAATAATAAAATAAAGGGACCTTATCATAGAATTAAAATACAGTAATGAATAGAATAGAAAGCAGCATGTACATAAATCAGTTTCACACAGCTAGACTAAGAGATTACGAAAGTTTTAAAATTTTACAAGAAATCACCAGTAAAATAAGAAGCATAATTTTCACGTGTATGTATTTATATGTATATGTACATATCTATTATGTATCAGTGTTTCGATCTTCCTTGATCATCAATGGACAAAAACATCTATCCTCCTCTGTGAAAGCTTAAATCTCCCACTAGTGAGTGACAGGGCTGTTTTTGTCAACTTTAAGATAAGGAAATTCTACCCCTTTAATAAAGTTAAAGAAAAAACATAGAAGGTGAACTTGAAAATTAGAAAGTCTCAGTACTATACAAAGACTCTAACACTAGTACTTAAGATAATATTATTGCTAAATACTCTGTAAACACTGGCTTGCCTCCTACCTACCAACTCTTCTATGCTTAGGAGGGAGCCTACAGCAAAAATTCAAGAATTCTGTTCAAAGCAGAGATACAACAAAATATTTCAAAATAAACCATTACCTTACATGTGCTATGCACAAGTGTAATAAAACATAACATATAAATTTTTAATTCATATGAGAAACTGGTGAAACATAATATCAAACCACAATTAAATACATGTTTACATAACTTAAGCTGTTTATTCACATAACTATGGTATCTTATAATGTTAATAATAGAAACACATGCATTTTGAAGATTCAAGAAATTCACAGGGATTTTTAGAGTTGGAAAAAAACAAACGAACCACTTCAGGCCTATGAATTTACCAAGTAACACCAAGCCTGTATATTTCTATTATGTAACTTACAATTTAATCTTTGATTATATGAATGTTTATAAAAAGACCACAATGAATTAAGATGTCAACTGATGAAGAAAATTGCAATAGTAAAGCAAAACTCAACACTTACCGACCATTTTGGCAGGATATCAAGGGGATATTCTTTAGGTGTTTTAACATTATGTGGATCAAATATTCTAATTACTCTCTGCAAAGGAGGAGCTTCTTTGTGTACATGAAAATACTATAATTGAAAATAAAAGAAATATAGAATAAATATTAACCAAAAGTTCTGTTTTAATTGCAGTTTGAATTACTGAAGTTAGCAAAGATGATAAATCACTAGTACAAAACAAAAAAAAAAAAACTAATTGATTTACAGTGATTGTCCAGAATTACAAATTTTACATTCTTTCCCATTCTATTAAAATATTCATTATTCATTCTTAAAATATATAAATATTAGTTCTTACTGAAATTATAACATTTTTCTCCTACAAAATACTGAATATATGAGCCAAATTAACATAGCGTTAAAATTTCATATAAAGAACTCAAGCAAGAGAAATTTAAAAAAAAAAAAAATTAAATTAAAAAATTTAAAAAAAAAACTTTTACTGCTAACAGCTGCTGAACCCTTAAGTTTCTTCTAATTATTGCTCTGTTATATTAAAATCCTTTCAGTCAGTGTGAAAACTGTTAAGTCTTAAAAGATAATTAAAACCAACAGAGGGCTTTCTATCTGATAAGTGATGAGAAGTCTTTTCTTTTTAATTAGTAAATTGAATAGAAGAGTCATGCTGGATGTATTGCTAGCATGCAGATATCTGCAGTACACTGCGAGAAACAACGCTAGTGTAATATCTGATAGTACCTAGCTCCAACACCTGTGCTAGAAGAACGAATCCATAAATGTAAAAACTTTTGTGATACGTTTGACAGAATCTTTGTTTTTATGAAACTTTTTAACTGTTTTTACCAGACTGCACACTACAGCCCTATAAATGGCTTGAGATTACATATTTTAGATTACCTGCAAACCTTATTTGAAAACTGCACAGTGTGAACAGCCAGCATTGCTGGAGTAATTTTGACCAATGAATCTTGCTATAACATTCTGGCCTCTGTTGAAATCAGATAAATCTTCTCTTTCTCTTGTGATATAAGATGAAACAGAATTCTGATGGCAGCTCTTTTTCAAACATTGCATACAATTTAAAAATCTTTATGCATGCAGGAGACTGGCTGTAGACACACAATATGTTGAAAAAAAAATTATGGCAAGGCATATGAGGCCTTATCTGCCTCACAGGAACTTTTCAGGAAAGCTGATCCATATGTACATCAGGAAAACAAAAATTTATGAATGAATTGTTTATTAAAGTAGTTTAATATTATTACAGTGCATTATATGGATTTAAACATCAGTTACTAATAATCATAAATATGTAGCTGTAAATAGCATTTCATACAGATATGCTTGACCTTTGACCAGTTATTCTTTACATCTGATAATGAAAAAAGATGCACAGTAAATAGTATTTCAAACAGAGAGGTAAATAATATACACTTCATTTGTTAGCCTAATGTTCAACCAATCATGCTCATTTCTTCTGTGTTCCTAAAACAGTACGTTCTCTGTGAGACTAAACCTTAAGGCAGAGAAGATAGAAATGCATGCAATGTAGTGTTTATAAACTTCAAATTCGATACAAAAAGACTACCTGAATTTTGCATGTAAAAATTCAAAAAGCAATAATTTATTTAAAAAATTGGTAACTTTCAATTTTTTTTTAAATATTGGTTTTTGTTTTCAAGCAAAATTATACAACTTTCTCACATAATACATTTATGGCTATCCATTAACAATAAATTCCACCATTACATTCTCTTTGTGAATACTTGATTTCAGCTTATTCGTTTTTTAATTTCAAATTAATGGAAATACAATCTATATACATATACAACAAGCAACAATGATTCAAGAAGCATAAGTAAGAACCACTAACTGAAGGGTAAGATAGCTTTCAAACATAACAAGAAAGCTATATCTATGAACCCTTAATATTATTGAAAAATATACTAGCAGCTGTTTGGGGACTGACAACCACAAGATATGGCATATTAGGGTGGAGTGAAAAACCATGAAATTTTTTTTAAGTTGCGAGATGAAAATGTAATATATCTAAAAAGTTAGGTATAGACTAATATATCACTTTTGAATTTAAAAAAAAAAAATTCTACTTCATTCTCTACAAAAAACTTGAAATTTCATAATATTGAAACTGTACAGTGGTAAAACCATGAAATGTTAAAAAAGGAAACTAACTACCCTTTGAAAGGAGTATATTGACTAATAGTATTTTTCAAAATTTTTCTACTTCATCTTTATTCTCAACCTTGACATTTTGTAGTGTACAACAGAGAATTTTCAACAAAATCTGAATCCAATCAAAAAAAATTTTTTATATTATTTAATTTGTGGGCAAAATAAGACATTGTTCTAAGTACAAGATCTTATAATTTTCTTAGAATTGGTAATAGAAATATGGCTCATGGGGGGGGGAACTTTAAAAAATGTATCTCATTAAAACTGGATCTACCATGCATTATAGTACTAAACTAATGTCAATGGAACTATGCGACATTATTTCATCAATCTGCCAAATCAAGTAAATAAAATCCTAATCTTGAGTTTTATTTTAACTGGAATAGGTTAGCTGCATGAGAGTTTTCTGCATGATAAAATAACAGCAGCTTCCATTAACACGCTCTTCATGGACATACATTCCCACGGCAAATATCCAAAATGTACTTTACTACAATTAATTTATTGTTTGAAATTATTTAATGTTAGTCTGCCCACTGGATTAAATTGTTTGATAATACATATAAAAGCGAAGACAATTTATCATCTATCAAGCTAACCAACTAAAAATTTTAAATGTTCTTAAAAAGTTTTCCAAAAATACCACAAAACCTCATTATTTAAAATGTAGAAAAAATATAATGAGCTTCCACAAAGGAAGATCTTACTCTTATAGGATTATCTGTGTCTACTTTATTTTTGCAGTTTTTTATTCTAATTTTCAGTTGATACTCTGTTTTAGTTGGAACTAAAAGCGAACTGATGTAATGCACAGGATTTTCACAGGACGAAAATTGCTCCAAGCCCAAAGCAATCAAACTAAAGGAAATAAAATTTTCAAAAGTTTATATTAATATACATAGACATATACACAATATCACAATTAACAATAAGTATCACAATAACAATTAATATCACAATAACACATTATTAGGATCCCCCATGGACGACTTTTTGGTATTATTCCTGCATTCTAAAACATAAATCAATGTAGTAGTTATTACTTCCTTTTCTTTGCCATAATATGTCATAAACAAAGGGTCCAGCTTGTTATCATGACTTCCATCTGAGCAAATGATAATATTGTACACTGCTTTTATAGTGTTGACAACAGGAGTTTAAGCAAAATTCCAGCATTTTTGGTGTGCTCGCAGCTTTTTTTTTTTTTTTTTTAAATTTTTTCTATGGCAGAATCTAAAAACATTGCATTAAGAAAATTAATTCGAATGGTCTGAAACTGAAAGTGGAAGGTTGTATGGGGAAGTGAAAGGCTATATATGTGGTTGCATACGAAAATGGTAAAAGTTATAAGGTATTTTCTCCCTCCTTTCCACATGCCTTTGTGGTGTAACTGGAATCACACTCGAACATATTTGAGAGGTCCAGGGTTCGAGTCCCAGCAAGGGCACTGCATATTTTTCATGTCTCCTGCTTCAAAAAATCCTAGTGATTCGATAAGATGAATAACAAAAGTGGAAGGCTATATAGTAGTTGCATATGAAAGTGGAAGGCTCCATGAAGCTGATGCTACATTCTTAGCTTACCTTGGGACTAATCACTCTAACTTTCTAATCACTTCTAATTATCAAAGGTTCAGTCACAAAGGCCTGTGGCCATGCACAAAATTGACTATAGTGGTGTAAAGTAAGAAGTGATACTGATTCTGAAGCCCTTACAACAAAGCCAGCATTGTACAGTCCATCTATTGATTGTCTCAATCCCTCACTAAGTTTGGTGGTCAAATAAGCTAAGATTTGGTGTCACTGGCTACATATGGTACAGTTAGTCTTCAGATATCATAATCATTCAAGGTTACTAGTACGTTGCAGTTTTCTTCATTACTCTTTCTTCCCCACAGTCCTTATACCCTTTTTTATACTCTTGATATTATGGAATGAGAAAACTCCAATTTTTGAATTATTCCTGAAACTGAATGAGCCAAAGATCAAGCACTTATTTGTCCTTGATCAAAGGCATCTAAAATTGTGAGTTTTACGTATCACATTATTTTTAACAATTGCTTAGAAAAAGCTACAATTCTAACTAAATATATCCTACAACAATCTCCTCTGACTGAAAAAAATAAGGCAGCTGCACAATATTTACATAGTGCTATTTATCCCTAAAGGAAAAGCAATTCAGTATGTGATAACATATGAACTTTGTGAAATGTAATATTTTCTGTATATCTGTACAAGGAAAGCTTCAAAATTTCAAAAGGTATTTGCAAATTCGGCTAACACTGCAGGTTCAGAAAAAGTATACTTTTTAAAACTAGTATCCTTGGAAACCTAATTATTGTTCACCCACAGAAAATGGTGAAAAACAAAATCCATGTGAACATATAGCAGAGCCCTAGGTTTCCCAATTCACTCCACATGCATGTATGATAGTTTAAAAACTACAAATACTATTACAGAAAAGCATCTTTCAAAGTTTTACATCACTTTAACATTTCTGGCTCCAATTTTAGAAAAGAAAAGCTTTGTCTTCTGTTTAGCTAGCTAATGATCCAATCCCACAGCAACTACACAAAGTTTTAAAATATTTTCTATTAACTAGTAACTCCAATAGCTTCACTTTCTCAAACATAGATAATAATTTATGTTTCTGCTTATGATAACAGCATCAATATAATTTTCTAAACTTCTATGTGTGCAAGTTTTTAGCCTAAAGGAGTATAATACAGCTAAATATAAGAAATTAAGGTACTTTCCATTTATCTTTGGTCACATATTCTTGGTCACCTTTTCTCACCTGCACTAAAAATATGAGCATTCCCTACTACATTAACCCTTTAAAGGGAACCAGTATATAAAATATACCGGTTGTTTGTCAATTTTTTAACCTCCTAAAAAATGCTGATTTTTCTATACCAAAAGCTAAAATCATCAGTTTCTAGTGTTTCCCTCTCGATTCTAAATTGCAGCACCACCCTACGAATGCTCAATATTTTGCAGTTATGAAATTAATATACCTCTTTTCAAGGTATGTTTAAAGATTCATAAATTCTACTGGAGGGGAAGAAAAATTCAAACTGTGCAAATATATGACATACACATGCTGAATCTTATATATTTACTTCATTTCAGTCAGAAGTGATAATTAACAGAAGATTATTTATACGATTTTAAAACCGGTATATGATATATACCAGCACTCATACTAAGGGTACCACGCAAGTAGATGGCAATATGTTTCTTTTCCTTTTCTACTCTGTAAGATGACAGAATTGCTTTATATTATAACAGTTTATGATATAATAATTTTTTATGATTAATTTATAAGTTGTTTAGGATTCAATATTATGTTCATGAAGGGATGGGGCGTTTACTGACCATGCACTAGGACTGAATACAAGTATATTAGCTTCTTTTTATTTTTTGTTTTCTCCACTTGAATTTCATTCATCTCTGTTTACCTAAAATTTTAATTTCAGCACTTTACCCTATCCCAAGAGAAAGACTCATCTATCTCAAAATTCTCGTCTGAGGTCAAACACAATTGTAGGGGTTAAATGTGGTATGTTATAACACTCGTTGTATCATGCTTTCCAAAAACCTAGAATGCAGAGAAAATGAAAAGAGGTGCTTGACAATGAATTTGTCATTTGGGGGTCCCACCTTCTTCCCTTTCTGTGATAAGATCAACAAAGAGAAAGGTCACTTAAAAATATGGGAAACAGAAATCACTTAAGATCCATCTCTTAGTGTAATTACAAAAACTCCTGATTTGAAAGCTTGCTTTTATTCTTTAGGGTATCTATTATCTTTGTTAATTTCAGATGAGACTAGGGAACAAAAGGGAAATTTGCCCTCTTGGTTAGGATACAAATAGGTTGATTCCGAAATAAATTTTCACAGTTGGTGAAAGGAGGAAAAATATTTCTGAGGCCCGTTTTAGATGCAAACCAAAATTTATATAAAGGTTGAAAAGGAGCCCCTAGGAGGCCAAAGGGGTTGAAAATCGAAATAAAGAGCTATGAGGTGTATCAAATAATAAAATTGTTTACCGGTGTTTCTTCCTGAACAAAAAGATATATTACAACCTATATTTACAAAAAATAAAAAAGGTTCCCTTACGGTCTTCAATAATCTAAAGTGTGTGTGGGGAAGCGATTCTTGGTATCATAGCATGAAGCACGGTCTTTTTCACATATTACTATCTAAAGCATAAAATATAACTTCAAAAATGCAACATACTTTCTCAGCTGAGTCGTGTTTCATTTTTCAATTTTTTTATTTTACGGCTGAGTTATCCCTCCTTGTAATATTATACTAGTTCAGTTACAGCATGATATGGTTTAAGCATGCAGTATTATATTTGCTATTTTTTTTATAAAATAATAATACTGAATTTAAATCAAGTTCAAAAGCTTTTTACCCATATTTCACATAAGTATGTTCAGCTGGATTGCATCATCAAAGTGCATAAAAACATAAATTTTATTTTTCAAATTTTAAAAGTTTTTGTTGTCAAACTTATATAACTGTATACAAGCACCCATCTCTACAGACGCACATCAAAAGTATGCAAAATTAATTTTAAAAACCAAAATTAACAATTGGCAGCTACCTGAAAAAATGTCTTAGAGGGGCACTGGTATAAAATATATATTAACTCTCAGTTATAAGGGTTTCACTCTAGATTTTTTTAAGTCTCAATTCTGTGTCCTTAGGGTCTATAAGTTATAATTCATGCAAAATTTTACCACAACTGAAATTATTTTATATACTGCCCCTCAAAGGGTTAAAAACTGTTCTAACCTTATTCATGATTATCAAGCTGAGCAAAAAAGACTTCAAGGACACAACATTCATACTGAAATTTCTTTCACTTATTAAATGTTAAAAAAACACTACTAACAGAAAATAATATAAATTAAATGTTGATATTTTTACCCTTTCTCTATGTTCTTTACTACAAGCATCTTTTGTCAAACGTGCTGATAATTAGGATTCAATATAATTAGCACTGCTTTTGGAAAACAGAACCAGTACACAGTATTGAGACACAGAAGAACTTTCTACTCAAGGAAAGAAATATTGAATAGTTCTGATTCATCTCTCTGTTTTATAATATTTATGAAGTAAGTTTCTCACTGCTTTATTAATGAGTAGTGCATAATACACTATTAACATAAAATTAATAATGTAATAAAAATAAGTAACACAGTACAAAATCCCAACATCCAGACCTCCTAAAAACCATCAGCATTTTAATTTTTTTCTTATTTTTTTTTTCCTTTAATAAAAGGGAAAAGTAGATTCTCAAAGTAGCATATGTGTAATGCTTCAAGAATGCTGCATAGTAAATGTTTTTTCATAATGTGCAGAGTCCTAGTTTTTAATTTCAATTCAGCACTAAATAAATTATCTCCATGTTGAAGAAGTGCAATCATTTAATTAGAATAAATATATATCAATAATTTGGCTTTGTAACCACTTTACTGCTTGGCATATATCTCAAGGAAAAACATTTTACCGAACTTTATCTCTGATTTGTGCTTACTGAATATCAACCCATACGCCAACCTGGTAAATAATTATTTTTTTCTTTCATCACCACTTGACCATCAAGTCATGGAAGCTTGAGAAATGACTCAGGCAGTAATGTCTAGAACAATTTTTGCATTAAATAAGCAATTAGCATGGTAACCTTTCATGCTGACATTATGCTTAGGACAGTTACAAATTTAAGCCAACTGCATATTGCAAAGTGTGAAGTCTGTTGATGAGAATTTTAATCAAAATTTTTAAAAATAGATTTTGTAAATGATATTCATTTAACCCAGTTAATGGTGCTTGAAATAAGAATAACTGATTTGTTGTTCTGATAAGCCTTAAAGATACTCTTCCATTATACATTTTCATCAAGACTCATACACCTCAGGCCCATATCACACAGCGTTTGTTTCACACTAACAACTGTTTCGGACAATTTTTCTGCCTGGTTTACTATCGAAAGAAAGACGTGTGACTTTTTCCGTCCTTTCCAAAAAAATTGCAGGTTGTTCGTTTTCAACCAATGAGCTATCAGCTTCGAATGCTATCAGCTTGTTTGTAATGCGGAACCAGTTTCTCCTGTGTTAACCCCAAAGCGATCTATGGTGATTGGCTGTTGTGACAAAGCAGAAAAATTGTTCCAAACAGTTGTCCTTCCGAAACAAACCGACGTGTGATAGCAGCCTTAAGCATATATGGGTAGCATATCCAAGTATAATAAGGAAAAAACCTATTAAAATTCAAGCTTAATTTTTTCAGTTGATAGGAACGAGACAAATTTTAGTAGAACATGTCTTTAATCGCCAGTCTCATGATACATCATAAATAGTATATAACATATACTCTCTAAGCTTTATGATCATTGCTACGAATTTGAAGGTTTGGGGATATTGCATACAAAAAGTTAAATTTTCCAACTAATACAATTTGTGAAGAAACGTGGGAAAGTGGTAACAAATGAAGATGATATAACAGAAGTATTAAATTGAGATGAGAATGCCTCAATAATCAATTAACTAATGAATGGCAAAATGTGTAGTATGGTTCCAAATCCAGAAAATTTCACCGCTGATAATGAAGAGAGTGACTAAGATGTTTTTTAGGACAAGAAAATTTCAATCAAGAATTTGGTGGGAATTCTTGACAAAGTAATTATAGGACTTGAACATTGTAACTCAGCATGAAATTATGTCTATCTATAACATTAAAGTACTAGCACACAAAAAACAAAGCAACTTAAATTGAAAAAAATGTTTAATAAAAAAAAATAAATACTGTGGGGGAGGTTTGGCAAATTTTCATTCAATAAAGGTCATAAATGCTTCATTATTTCATAACAAATATTTCAGATTTTTAATTTTATGATGTCTGTACTTTGTTTCATTTGATTTAAACTGACAATCTAAAATCTGGAAAATTCCCAAATCACCAAAGTCCTGATGAGTCCTGATCTTGGACTTTATACTGCATAATAGAAAAAATTATGTTAAATGACTAATTATGAAAATGATAACACAAGGAATTCTTAAACTCTGAAAACAGATGGTATGGAATAATTACAAGTAACACTGCTTAAAGTTGTCTGCTCTAATTAGCATTATGTCATAAAACATAGCATATACGTTACTTAGAACATGAAAAAAATATATTTCTGGGAGGGAGTTCCAAATTTTGCCACCAAATGAAAATATGGCATTTTTAAAAATGCAAGTAAAAAAAAAAAAAAACTTTGTTTAACAATAATGGCATGTGTTCAAAATGCACGCATTTGAGCTGATTAGAAGTGAAAGTGTAGATACTACAATCAACACATGGAAGAAGCAGTTTGTTGGGAATATCAGTAACATGGTACACGACAGCTGTAACGGAAGATGCATGTTTCTCTGATAAATATGATTTTTCATGAATCTGCATTTGTCAAAGCCACAGAAATTGAGGCCCAGAGAAAGAAAAGGCTATAAATCTGAAAAGTTGCAGACAATCCCTTAATCATCAATGAAGAAGACATGAAGTAGTACTTTTGCTCAATGACTAGTACATATATGTTATTCTATCTTGCAAGAAGACCAAAGCTTTTGTGCACGTACAAGTCTATCAACACAGCTATAAATACTTCACCTGATATTTTACACATCATCAACTGTCCTCCCCTTCTTGAAAGCATGCACAACTCTAATTTCTTCAAATTTCTTAATCATGTTTTCTTAACCCTTTTGCGCCATCTGTCATGCAAACATGCTAGCATGAAACACACTCATTTCCTGGCTGCTGTAACACAGTGTTTTCTCATTCAACTTTCCACCTATTACATATTTTTATGAAATGTCCAGGAGCAGTAAGATAGCTTCTCAGAAAAGTAGGTTTAGGGTTGCCATAAATGGCAAGGTAGGGCAGGATTGTTACATTTGGCGAGAAATCGCCCATTTGGCGACAAAATTGGCAATGTGCCATGGACGGATGTAGAACCTTCTAGAACAAATTCTTACCGGTTTAGCCCAGAATCTTCTCGAAGCCAAAAAATATATAAACCCTGCTGGTATGTGGAGAGTGAGGGTGAGATAGTTAGTCTCGAGTTAGTCAGTCCGTGCGGAGTCGATTGAGTTGACAGCCGGGCAGCGAGTGCCAAGTGGGTTGTCGAGTGCATCGAAGAGTCTCTTAGTGTATTGCGGTTGGTCCATCGTCGAGAGAGTGTGTTAAGCTCCTGGAACGACTGAACCAAAGAGTCAGGAGATGTGCTCTGTGTGTTGTCGAGTCCATCGCGAGTTGCAACGTGGAGTTCCGACAACGACTGGCGACAGTCGGGAGCTGTATTCTTGTGCATTGCAGTGGCGCTGTCTCCACCATTGTTGCCTGACAATGTGAAGGCTGTGTTGCTGATTGTTCCAACATATATATAGTATATCTTCGACAACTGTAAAAGTGTTTTGGAGCTGTCCTAATTAATATTGGTAAATAAAGTGTGTTTCGATATTCCATAAAGTGCTGTCGTCGTTATTTACTCCAAATCCACATGAACCCCGTAAGAACATGAAGGAAGAAAATGACGTAACAACTAATGTCAGAAAATATTGCAACAATATTCACATCAGAGTTCTGGAACATTTTTGGCACAGGACGGATGGCATTATATGTCCATAGGATTTGAGATATATGTATATTTGACCATATATGCAAAAGAAGAGAAAGATGACTCATACACGCTTGGATTTTGATTAAATAAAGATAAAGCAAAAGGCATGTTCTCAACTCATAGGCTTCGTGATGGCTCTGTAAATGTGCATTGATGAAGGTCAACTGACATTTCTTTTTTTGGCTAAACTGCTGTGTTTCCTTAGATCCACGTGGTGTTTGTTAATGAATGTTATGGTGTTCGCCACGGAGGGGCTAGAACATTGAGTGTTTGCATTTGTAGTCCAGATCCTAATTGAGAATTATACCTTGTCTATCTGAAATGGTTCTGTTGGGAGCATTACAATGACAAAGGGTAAAAAAATTAACAAATTATGTTAATCTGAATCAGGTTATATATGTAACACTACCATTTATATAGGAAAAGAAACAGGTTATATGGGTTAAAAGGAACTTCAAGATTATATGGGAAAAGAGTACCTAAATCTACTGTAAGAGCTTCCTAGTCAAGGGTAATATTTGCATTTTTTTTTTTTTTTTTTTTCTTTTTTTTCTTCAGGCCTCCATCATTGGCAAATGAACTCTTTAGACTTGAAACAAATACTTGGGGGACTATAATGAGGAGAAGGAAAAAATGCCTGAAAACTTTCCTCTGCCTAAAATGAAAATTGATGTGATATTGGTTTTGCAGAAAAAGAACGTGAAATGAAAGTTCTAAGAAAGTGAAAAGATGATGCTTCATTTATTCTGCTGCCTCCAAAATCACCAAAAAGGTAAATGCCCTATTATGAATACAAGGATTTTAAAATAGGACTATGTGTAGATCCCTGCTTTAAAAAAATAAATTTTAGGTAAAATGTTTAGTTGTAAAATGTGTAATGCCAAAAGTCACTAACAGGTAAGCAAACACGAAACACTAAAAAAAAAAAAAAAAAAAAAAAAAAAAAAAAAAAAAAAAAAATATCAAGTACATCAAGTATGCAAATAAAAAATATATAAATCATTATACCACATATATATTCTACAGAACATTATCAAACAACACATTCATTTTCCCATAATTTCGTGGATTTAGGCTTAGCAAAAAAACCCCAGGCCTTGGAAGATGCTTGTGAAAGAAACAGTCAATCTGGAAGGTACACGTGCGTTTGCACTTTTTGTCGCAAAAGAGTTAACATTATTCTTTCACATCTAGATATTCACATAATTCAGTTAGGTTTTTTTATCACACAACTCCCAAAAGTGTGCATTTTTTCCTTCATACAAAATAATTTTGTCCACAAACTGCTCACCTTTTATAGCATGAATATACTATTATTATTTGATTTGGATAACATTTCTTCTAAAACACTACTGGATACTGAAATTTTAAATTGTGCTTACCTAAGTTTCTTCTCCATGTCATGAATAGCATGTATGTTAAGTTTTTCCACTCAATCATTAATGTTAAGTTTATGTCAATCAGAATAAACTCCATAGGTCTACAAGTAGGTACATTTTAATTGCAACCAATGATCAATTTTCAACATTAATTTTCCTGATAATTTTAGAGGATCAAAAATAAGCAAATTACACCAGCTTCTCTGAATTCTCACAATGAATTTCATAATACATCAACTTATTACAATTACATAAACATAAATAATGCAACCAAAAGAAGCAAACTGAACCAAAAATACATTTTTCTTATTTAGAACCCCATGAAGTCCCATGCATATATTTTTAATACATTTCAAATATTCATCAATTTGCATTACTTTAGTTAACGTTTCACAAAATGATTTTTTTTGTTTTGTTTTTTTTTTTAAAAAAGAACTTACTGATCCTCTGCTGCACAGTAATAAGTTTTTTTCTTTTGAATTTGTCTCTGAAATGCAGTAGCAGGCAATAACTCAGGGTAAATAAAAACTTTGCTATCAAGCATAGTCTTCTGCACTTGATATGAAGGCATACCTAAACAGAGAAAATACTTATCACTGTGGAGAAATAAAGTCAAAGAATAAAGCATACAAAATTAAGAATACAGACAAGGTGGTCATAAAGAAACTTCTCCTATATATAAAAACCCCTATCTGCTCAACCAATCCAAATGAAATTTAAGATATTGTTAATTGATGGTATGTACTCAAGACTGTGATGACTAAAAAAATACAGCTTTCATGGTTACAAGGAAGAGTGAAAATTTTTAAAATTTACAAATGGCAACACCCACTTTTTTATTGCACAAATTGATCAGCTTATCAGAGGACCATCAACAGTGTTAGAACGATACACATAATGACAAAAATTGCCAGAATAAAACATTTGCAAACAACAGCATTGAAAGGATCAATGACAATACACAACAGGAGGCAGAAAAAACTTTTATTGAACTTACAACTTTTCAACATTCACACACAATATGCGTGTTCACCTTCACAGATGATATGTATGTATGCGAGAGATTGTTGACAACAATGACAAACATAACATCACAGGAGGAATCTGTATAACTTTACATTTTATGGCATATTTCAATACTCACAAATCTCAAGGATGTAATGTGCACATTGTAGATTTCAGATAATTCCAAAACCAGAAATCCATCAGAGTAAGGTTGGAGGGTCACGGTGATGACGAAGCTGCAAAATTACAGTAGAAGGTGATGTTGCAGCACTTTCTGAACACACGTGGGAGCATGTAGAGGAGAACCATTTTGCATCCATACAGTCTTTAATGTCATTTCACTACTGCAGTTCTAGAATTACATAATTCTGCAATACTGCTGTATACTGAGCACTTGGAATGCAGCAAGCTTTCATACCTGTGGAAGTAACCTCTTCAATGAAGTACAGACCAAGATCAAATGTGCTTGCAATGCTAAAACATACAGTCATTTCAGCTTTGTGTAAAGGTGATAGTGCCACATTATGAGAAATTTTGTCATTCAGTGAATGCAGTTCTTGGAGTTTACGTTCCCAGTTAAGGAGAAATGCACCTCTGCCATCCATAATATCCACAGCAGCCACCTGCAATCTTCATCACATCCAATAAGGAAAAATTTGCAAAGTCCTCATCTATAGGTTTCAATATCTGCACATGCTGGAATTGATAAGAAAACATCCACAGAAAAAAGCACAGAAGCTTGAAGACTGTAGTTTTCAGCAACTCTACTATGCACTTCCACAATAGTGCCAACAGGAAAATATGATCATCTGAATTGCGGTCTATCACATTCAGTTTCTTTGAATGGAACATCGGCCTCATCTCAACTTGTGATTTCACCAATAAATTCGTACTGTTTTAGCAGAATTTTCCTCATTCAGATAAAACAGCTTATCAATTCACCTCAGTGTTTTCCTTTATGTGTCATCTTGCTAGCACATTTGAACATCTGACTAACATACAATTTTCTCACACCACTTTAATTAAGATTTTGCACAAGCAATGTTTTGCATATGGTGTTCTGCGATTCATGTTTCTGCTGTCCAACCTGTGAATTATACAAAGTGCATCAATCTGCTTCCTCTCTGTGTTGTCATGGTCCTTTACAATACTCTTTGTGCACATTTTAAGGCAGCAATTTCTGTCATACATGGTATCATTCCAGTGCTGTTTATTGTTTTCCAGTTTGCACACACAAAAAAAGGGGTTTGGCATAATTTTTTTTTTTTTTTTTTTTTACCATAATAGCTCTATTGTTTTAAATCATCACATAGATGTATGCACATCTCAAGTGCATACCTTTAAATAAAAATATGTGACATTTCATTTAAACTGGTTGATTAGATAGGCTGCTAGGAGTTCATTTATCAGGGAAGTTTTTCTTGTGACCAGCATGTACATATACAGGGTGATTATAATTAAAGTTTAAGTTTCAAAACGCTATAAAAAAAGAACCACTCATGAAAATGACGTCAAATTTGAAAGGAATGTTATTGAAGGAGGCGGAAAGCGTATAGCAGAAGAAAAAATTTAGTTTCAAAAGTTAGCAACAGATGGCGCTGCAGCGGAAGAAGACGTAAATTAAAATGTTAGTTAAATTTCAGTGTATAAAGCCGCCAGGTACCAGGCTGTTTCCTCATTTTGCGACTCAGGCGTTCGCCATAGGTGTTTCACTGCAGGACCGCGCTCTGCTGGTAAAGCTGTATTACAAGAATGATGATTGGTGCAAGAGTAGCTCTGCAAAAAATTCAGGACCCTGAAGGGTATAAAGAAGGCGTTGGTCCAATGAGTGTCGTAGGTCTAAAGAAAATTATGCAAAAATTCGAAATGACAGGTACGAAACATCCTGCAATGCTATCCGTACAAAATTGGCCATGTGCAGGAGTTGCTTCCTTCTGACCTGACAGCTAGGGAGACGGAAATTTTCCACGGCCATTCATTATCCACTTTCCATATGACCATAAGCCCATTTCCATATGACAGGATACGTGAATACCCAGAATTGTCGAATATTGGCAACAGAAAATCCACTGGCAACGCACCCCGTACCACTTCATCCTGAAAAGGTCACGGTATGGTGTGTGCTTTACGGCATTAGTCATCCTACACCATATTTTTTCGAGCATACGGGTGCTTCCGGTCCTGTTACCGCAATCGTCACTGGTCAGAGGTATGCGTCCCTTTTGCGCAACCACGTATTCCAGCTCTGCAACAGCGTGGATGTGTGAATGAAATCATTTTTATGCAAGATGGCGCTCCTCCGCACATTGCATCCTGTGAAGCAGCTGCTGAGGCGCCATTTCGGAAATGCTCGAATTATCAGCCGTCATTTCCCTACAGCCTGCCGCCCGATCGCCTGATCTTACTCCGTGTGATTTCTGGCTGTGGGGATATCTGAAGGGTTGTGTTCCATGCTCCAATTGCAAATTTAGCGGAATTAAGGGCACGCATTTCGCAAAACATTCTGAAACATCACCCCGGAGACACTGCGATCCGTCGTGGAACATGCTGTTTGTCGCTTTCAACTTGTTGCACACAACGGTGGACACAATATTGAACATGTTTGCGACAGTTCCGAACTTCTTTGATGAATGGTTCTTATGCGGTATGCCGCCGCAAAACTCTTGAAAACCAACCGATTTGTCCCTTCCGATGTGATATGTACAGTCATGCAAATAAAATTATTCAACAATTCTAATTTGTCAATGCGTTTTAATGTGTAACTGCCACCTTAGCCGTTGTTTTCGAAACACATTCTCGTTTCTCGTCATGATTCTGCCGCTTTACAGCGCCATCTGTTGCTAACTTTTGAAACTAAATTTTTTCTTCTGCCATACTCGTTCCGCCTTCTTCAATAACATTCCTTTCAAATTTCACATCATTTTCATCAGTGGTTCTTTTTTTATAGCGTTTTGAAACTTAAACTTTAATTATAATCACCCTGTACATAGGCGCCTTGGTACATCCAACATGGCATACATCTTGTTTTGACATGAACATTTTTGTTTGGTATAGGATATTTGTTTCTAATATGACTGAAGTTCAATGATTCAGAATTGAGTGCACTTCACATGTTCATTTCTTTCGACTCAATTCTACGACTGTGCATAAGCACCAGTATGCATGTTGCTACTACTCAGTAAACAATCTGCACTACAACTCTCAATTTTCAAGTGACTATATTCAGTTTTCAAGTGTTCAATTTTCAAGTGACTGACTCTATATTCTGTTTCTTCATTTAAATTGCAATATTTTTCAACATTTTAAAAGCAATTTTGTTTTTAATTTAAATTTGGGTTTTACTTTGGAAGTGCCAGATATTTTTTACCCTATGGTATAATTCTTCGTCCTCTGTTTAATTGACAATTCAAAGCGTCAGTTGATTTTTGAAGTTCAAATTATTCTGCTTTCTCATGATTTTAATTAAAAAAAGTTTTCTTTTGAAATTCAAAGTTGTTTGCATTGTAGCATTAAACTAACCTTTTGGGAGATGGCTTTCTCGATTACAGTACTTAGTTTCACCAAAGAGACCAAACTGGCAACCCTAGGCATCTTAGATTCTAATGCTTATTTTCATTGTTTCGAAATGGTGTTTGATAGGAGTTTTAGTTAAATTGCAAAGTTTTTTGTTAAATTTTTGCTACTTTGCAGATATTTTTTTAATTTTACGGAATTTATTTATTCACTGCAGGTATTCGACATTTTCACTACTTTTTTCCTACGTATTATGGGTAAGTTTCTAAATGAACATTCTAAAGGAAACTACCTTGTAATCAAATTAAACATTGCAAAAACCACGGAAATTAAGTGCCGTAAGCATGATCGTTAGTTTAAGTGAAACCAACGAGCGGTTTGTTAAAAATTAGATGAGATGAAAGATCTTGTTTTAAAATATAGTATTTTAATACTCTTCAGCACAGAGTTAATAGGTTCGTTTACAATACACAACATCCACAAAAAAACATAACTGAGTTCAGTCATCTATAGCTTTTGAATAACAATCTCTCTTTCGTTGAAATTCCATAACAACTAATTTCCCAGCATTCTCCCCACTTTGAGAGATTTTGAGAGAAAACTCAAAAGTAAAATAACAAATAAAACAATTTTAAGAAATTTATGACTACGTAAACTAAATCTAAATTTTAGAGTTCAAAATTCTTAACACAAATGTTAAATGAAGTTCAAGTTATTTCAAAGTCAACAAAAGTTTGTGCTTAGAGATTCTTTCAACAGGTTTTACCAGTCAACCAGTGTGGGTTTGAACAAGAGCAAGTTCATTAAAATCATTTTCCATTCCAGAACACTTATTACTACTACATCAGGAACAAGTTCATGATCATGAATAATTAATTCAGATTCATGTGTTACCTACCTCAGAAGGATACAGTCATTGTACTGGTCTTAACACATTTCCATCATGAGTTTTTTATTTCACAAATGTGACAACTCCATCTTTGCCAGGGAAAAGTTCCAGTACTCTTCCGAGGGACCGATACCTTTTTTTTTTTTTTTTTTTTTTTTTTTTTTTA